GGACATGGACATGCCATCCCCTCATGACCATATCAACAACATTACACTATTCACAGCTTTGCAGTGAGCCTCTGGATTGGCTCCAGCATCAGAGCAGTCTTCAACTGCTTTGCAGCACAACACAATAATGTCAGCTCAGTCCAACCTTGATTGCTCTCATCAGTGCCACCCTTCTGCAACTTCCAGCACCTTGGCTGGGGCTGAGTTGACTCAGCCAACAACCTCTCCTGCTTCCCCTTTGTCCTCCTCCACTCCTTCTGGTTCCAACGCCACCACATCTGCTGGTTCTTTGCCTCACCAAACCTCTACCCAGCCAACTTGAATCTCTGCAACTCACAGACATCAAGCCAGTATTCATGGCAGCAGGTTCAACAAAACAGATCGTATTGCCTACTTCAATTGGTCACCTAGTGACATAAATAACCTTGTTGATATCATCTACAATAATGATCATTACCAACGTGTTCTATTGCCAGGATGTTTGACTGCGGAACAGGAAAAGGGTCTGAAGACAAACAAAGATGTTATCTGCGGGCAGATATGGCAGGAGCTGTTCCCAGATGAGTCTACTGTTGGTGGTGCTGGTCAAGTAAAGACTAAGATTTGCTGGCTCACTGAACAATACAACAACATCAAGAAGACCATCTTGCAGCAGACCAGTGCTGGAGTACTTCTTCAAGACATGGATCACAACAGCTCAGTAAGTACAACTTAGTTGATTCATGTTAAGTGTGCCAATGTTCTTATACTTTATATCTCTGTCTATGCTTCTTTATCAACTTGCAGGACTATGCCACATGCGAATCGATTGCTCGAAGCCACCCTTGGTTTGAGCACTGGCACAAGATGATGACCAACCATGCACAGACTGGTCCAGTTGTTCTTCTCACTGGTCACCCATATGATGCCACCCCTGCCTCCTCTCAGAATAACTCGGTTGATGCCGATGTGAACATGGATGATGCCAGCGATGCTCACTACCCTCAGTGATGCAACATTCCTGGCATGGAATCCATTCTTGAGGAGTCGCAAAATGATCCCATTGGAGCAAGAGTTATCTCATCTTTTTCTTCTTTGGTTGCAGCCACCCCAGCTGCTGCTTCATCTTCATCCTGCTCGCCCTTCTCTTCCTCATCCAACCCATCTTCGATTGGCCCCACCCCCTTCACCATTACCCCTATAGACACTCCAACCCGCCAGCGCTCATCCAGCACCACTTTTGAGGCTGATGAAGTGGACGATGGTGATGGTGACTCTGTTTACCATTCTCCAGCCACAGGTACAACACCCAAGAAGTCTCGACCCTTCACTTCCAAGAGCAAGTGAGAAGAGCTGTCGGAAATTGTGCAGGCCTGCACCCAAGACATGCTTCAGGCATGAATCAAGGTTGAGGAGGAATGCATGAAGAGGGAGGAAATGCGCATTCAATTTGCCAGGGAAGAAAGTGAGAGACAAGAGCACATGCAAACTGAAGAGCATGGTTGGCTCATGGAGATGGTGCAGATGATGAACCCTAATCTACCCTTTGGCAACATCGCTGGAAGTAGTCAAAGCAATCTTGATCTTGACCCACTGGTTCTTGCCATGGATCAGCAGGACAATAGCGATTCAGCTCATGAGTAGACCATTTGGCAAGAATGGTGTTCCTTTTGAGTTCTCCAAGTTCTGTTCCTGTGTTTCCAACTTGTTGTACCATTGCTCTCTGTAAAGCTAGCTCTCAATATGTATGACTAGCATACCCCATACCCAGTCTTCCATGTAATCTCTCAAATGTAGATTGCTTCAATGTGATGAATTGTTCCACATACAAGATGCTGATCGGTGTAGCCCCGGTTCCGAGCATGTGTGTTGCACAGAAATCAGCTGCGCAGAACCTAGCTGCACAGAACTCAGCTGCATTGTGTTTGTAGCTTTGGACTCTCTTTTGGACCACATCATCCTCTCCTATTTCTGGCCCTCTACTTCAACCATGGTGTGCACTTCCGACAAACAGCACCTCCTGGATGACATTGAGACCACCATCATGCACTCATTGATGGTGGAATCCAAGATGCAACTTGATCTGATGGATGTCAATGCCACTTGGCACCCTAATGATGACCTTGAAGAATCTGATGATGACATGTTCGATCATGCTATCTCATTCATGCTCATCAGGACTTATGACATCATCAGCCAGTCTCGATACACAGTTGAACACCTTCAACTGCCACAACAAAAGGATCCCCTCATCAACATGCTTGATCGATATGCTGTCATCAACCGCAAGCTCTTTTGAGGGGCTGTTTGCATGACCCCAGATGCATTCCAAGCTCTCACTTACAGACTCAGCACAACCAATGCCTTCAGATCAATATCAAGCTTTCAGCGTGTTCAGCAGCAAGTGGCAGTTGGTCTATATCGGCTTGGACGGTCAGGAAATGGTGGTGGAGTTTGTGATGTTGCATTTGCCTGCAGTTGCAGTCGGGGCTCAGTTCATGTGTGGACAGATAGGACTATTGCAGGCCTATACAAGCTGAACAGCGAGGTAGTAACCTTTGCAACTGAAGACAAGCATGCTAAGGCAAAAGCATGGGTTGCTGATAAGAGTGGAGTCAAGGAATGGTCTAGAGGATGGTTGGTGGTAGATGGTACACACATCAATCTTGCTTGGAAGCCAGCACTCAATGCTCGTGAGCATTACTCATACAAGGGTGATTATACATTCAACATTGCCCTTGTCTTCCTCCCTCATTCCTTGTGCATTGTCAAGTTGGTGGTTGGACATCCTGGGTCATCACATGATGTGCAAGTCTGGGCTTCAGGCAGTGGTATTGTTGTGAAGCCTCATTTGCATCTTGATGAAGGCGAGTTTGTCTGGGTTGATGCTGGTTATGGCTACTCCAGCTACACAGTTGGACCGTACAGCAACACTGCAGCTGCAAAGAGCAGAGATCTCCACTACTTCAACTATTCACTCTCCTGCATTTGTGTCAAGGCCAAACATGGCATTGCCTACCTCAAGAACCACTTCCAATGTCTCATGGGATTTCGAGGCAACCTGTATCGAGAAGAGGACCACGAGAAAGCTGCACATATGGTCCAGGCTTGTATCATTGCACATACATTCGCAAGCCATTATGATCGACCAGATGAGGTGGCAGAATACCTTAAGGCATCAGAAACTCTATCTGAAGCTGAGGTGCTGGAGACCACATCAGGGATGGAAGCATATCAGCAGGCTACCGAAGATGCAAGGATACAACGAAGGGAAAACCAGCAGCAATACGAACAGGAACAGGCTGCTGCCATGGAGGGCATGTCTCAGAACCGAGTCCAGAAGTTCAGGAAGGAGAAAGCACTGGATCTTAGGGAGGAGATGCTCACTGCACTCTTTGCTTCTCATGGCCGCCCTTTTGAGGACACAACAGCAGAATCTCAAAGGATGGGAATGACAACATTGGCCTTCACCGAATGGCAGGAGAGACAAAACTGATGGCATGAGGCTTGCAGAAGACAGCGATCAGAACAGGTGTGATGTAAGCTATTTGCTTTAGCTTTTCAATCAAAGGTTTTGGCATTGTTCAGTATAGTGTTCAACAATGTCTGATATGATCACTTTGATCTTGACCTGGTGTAGGGAATCAGAGATTGTTTTTACTGGGCGAGTCAAGTGAAACTCCAAGATGCACGTGTCACAGGCCTGTGCAGTTTCTTGGGGCGTCAAAAATTGGGCCCAAACATATTTTCAAAGTATTGTGTTTTCAAAACTCAGAGATAACTGAAACCCCCTATTGTGTTTTTGGAAACCTGCTTTTCCTTGGGGGGGGGGGGTTCAAATTCCCTCCAAAAACGCGCTTTTCAAAAAACCCGCATTTTTAAAAACGCAAAAACTTTGATACCCCCTTTTTGTCGTTGCCTCTTCAACTCAGCACAGGTTCAAGCACTGCTCAGCCCGATCCAGGGTTCAATTTCAGTAGACTGACGTCGATGATCACACAATGTCCATATCCAAGACCGCAACCAGCTCGGCCTGTTCGCCGGTCAACAATCCCTGACTGTATGCAAAGCGCCTGACAGTCTCATCGCTTGATGGCGTTCAAACAAAGGAAGGATGAAGCAGATGAGAAGGAATGCGATTCAAGCCACCGTCGCGATTGGCTGTGTCACGCGTTGCGGTTTGCGGTTACGGTTGGGAAGCTCCTTAACATCTTGCATCCTGTTGACTTCGGAGAGCATCGCTCTTTCCTTTTAACAACGGCCTCGGCTGCATTCTTTGCAAGCTAGGACGATGCTTTTCCGTGTCAACAATGACCCAGCCCAAGCCCCTGACCGTTCCTTCTGCGATCCGCATAGCATGACATTGGCATAGGCTACTGACTTGCAACAGAGAAGAATGAGACATGACATGGAAACCACATGGCAACAGTGAAAATCACATGACTTCTTTTCTTCGCTCTAACATTTCCGCCAACTTCGCTCTCCATCGTTACTCATCATCACCCACCACGGTTGCTCAGATCCACATCAACGCCCTCCTATTCTCATTGTGCTGCCACGCAACCCTCTGCACCACTTCATTCCACGCACACACACACTGGTCACCGGGAGGGATATACAGCTCATGCATAAACTGTCCCATGATTTTACATGTCACCACACATCACTCCAATGCTCAACAGCCATATGTTGTATTGCCACACTGTCTGATATCATCTGAAAGCTCTGCTTCTTCTCTCCAAGACTGTGTAATTGATATTGACATTGCCTGAGAAAATTGTGCTTTGAAAAAGAGCTGAGAATTTTTTTATTGTGGGACAGTTTATGGAGCATGCTGCCAAATAGTGACACCACTCCATTCCTGACCTTGTGGGCTGTCAACTACAATGAAACTTGCAATGCAACTTGGTGGGAGCCTTCATATACATTGAAAGTAGTGATGTGGAAAGTTTCAGCTCAATCAGATGATTGTGAGCAATCTGGCAGCACTTCCAGTCTGACACCATTGTATCTATACCATCATGCTGAAAACCACCCCAGAGAAGCACCGATTGGCACTCTTTCACCTCCAAAATGGGGAATCTACCCATTCAGTTGCCAAGCAACTTGGTATGAGCAAGTCTACTGTGAATCACATCAGCAAAAGCACCTCAGCTGATGTTCCAAAGTCAAAGGGGGGCTGGCCAAAAAAACTCCAGCCCTGTCATGTTCACTTCCTGGACCACTATTTTGAGCTCAATTGCACCTCCACTGTCAGGAAAGCATGTCAAGCACTGCAGGAGACATTCCAAGTCAAAGCTTGCCCAACCACAGTAAGGAAAGCACTTTGATATTGTCACTACAAAGCATGGAGGTTAGTGAAAAAACCAAAGCTACTCAAGAGACACTACATTGCCCACCATAAATTCACCAATGAGCACAAGGATATGACTGTTGAGGATTGGAAGAAGGTTGTATGGTTGGACAAGACAAAGATCAACTTCTTTGGACCAGATGGTAAGCAGTTCTGTTGGATTAAGAATGCCAGCTTCAACAGTAAGCTTGTCCAGCCCACAGTCAAGTTTGGCAGCAGATCCATCATGATCTGGGGCTGTATGACATGGGAAGGGGTGGGAGGTATGTGCTTGGTGCTGGGTATCATGGATTCAGACCAATACATTCAAATCTTGAATGACAAGCTTATGAAAACATTCTCTGATTTGCACCTTCAGCATGCATATACTGATATCATTTTTCAGCAAGACAATGGCCCTAAACACACATCCAAGAAGAGTAAAACATGGTTGACAAGCAATAACATTAAGGTTATGGAATGGCTGGTGCAGTTGCCTGACTTAAACCCAATTGAACACCTCTGGCACCATCTCAAAATGTGACTCTCAAAGTATAGTACCATTGCAAAGTCCAGGGATGAACTGCTCAAGAGATGTGAGGCTGAATGGGCAGCAATCACTCCAGAGACATGTAGGAACCTAATAGAGAGTATGCCACACCACATCAAGGCAGTTCTGAAGGCAAAGGGAGGGAATACAAAGTACTAAGGTGTTGTCAAGGAGCACTCCATAAACTGTCCCACAATAAAAAAATTCTCAGCTCTTCTTCAAAGCACAATTTTCTCAGGCAATGTCAATATCAATTACACAGTCTTGGAGAGAAGAAGCAGAGCTTTCAGATGATATCAGACAGTGTGGCAATACAACATATGGCTGTTGAGCATTGGAGTGATGTGTGGTGACATGTAAAATCATGGGACAGTTTATGCGCAAGCTGTATATGCTCCTCATTGCCTTGTACTTAGTTGCTCTTGATATCATTGCAATTGCTACTCATCTCGCTGTTCGCCGCTTGTGCATTCCTCAACAGCAACGTCTCTGAGTCTCGCTTGCAAACTGTCAACCTTCTTTTCGCATCCCTTCGGACAAGCAAGCTACAAAGGGACGCCGCTTCCTCAATAAGCCACATTCTCTGCCCGCGCTGCCCGATCGCTTCCCTCTCTCTCCGGTGTCAGCAGAGTTGACCTCACATCATCTCAAGTCGTGCAATAGCCACCTTATTGTCACAAGGATATCACAGATCGATGTCCGTTGATTGGCACGAGACCGCCTAGGGAAGAATGGTGGGATCGTGATTTCGTTGAAAAGATGAACGAGATACAGACCAGGTAAATGAAGTGCGAATGGCGCATGTTGAAGGTAAACAATGAGATATAGCATCAAGCTAGACGAATGAGATGGTATGAGGTACGTGCTGCGCGCGAGACGAGCAGGCCCTCTGTGTCTGCCTGTATGATGGCTGCACATCTAGAGAAGATTGAGGCGTAAAAAAGGGTTAAAATGCAAGTATACTTGTACAAGGGATAAGCGGATAGAGGAATGCATGACGATACAAGACTCAGATCGACACCGTCGGCAACAGCATACTCTGCTTGCGACTAGGTGAATCTGGTGAAAGGGTTGGCGAGCGTCCTTAGAGTCATGACATAGCGACCAGCTGCGGCCCAAAACTGAGGTGAACAGTTGGGATAAGAACAATGAACGACGAAAAGAGTGTGGGAGTCACCTCAGTCGTGTGGGGTCGCAGTCGGGATCGTATGCTTGTCGAGCTCTGCGAAGGAATTGCTCGAGTGAATTAAAATTAAGCATTATTGCAAAGGCTGTCCTGCTTGAGCCGCGGCGGCGGCAGCAGCAGCAGCGAGCAGTGCGCTGTGGTTCTGGTAAGCCCAGTCGCGCGCAAAAACGCTCGCCTTGAGGAACTTCTTGTTGGCGTATTTGCGGTAGACAAACTGCTCCTCGAAGCCAGGGTCCAGCAATCGCTCCAACAATAAGTTGGCTCCAGGCACAAGCTGCTCCTCGGTAAAGTCAGAGTAGTAGACGAAGGCATCGTCCCAGTCGCCTCCGAGCATTTTCTTTGCTAGGAACATGCCGACAGCGGCAATGAGGCTTGGGCGGGCACGCAGGAAGCGGTGGTCGAGCAACGCGAGCTCCATCAAAAACTTGGACAGCGTTCGTGTACGGATGTCGTAGTCGTCTGCCTTGGAGATCCTTCGAACCCACGAGTAAGGCGAGCAGTAAGATGAGACGTTAAAGTCGAGCGTCGATAGGATGATGCGCTCGCCCTTGAGGATCTCTTCTTGCGAGTAGCCGCCCTCGGTCATGTAGACGAATTCCTTGACACTTGGTGCCAGGATCTCCTCGTACTTAGCTGCAATGAACATGGCCGTGACACCGACGAGCTGCAGCTTGGCCAAGCTGACGACCCGCACGCTGAGGAAGCGGTCGACCACATTGATAGCGATCCAGAGCGTTTCTGGAAGCATGTGGTATCGCATGTGCACCTGCAACAACCAGTCGACGAGCGTTGCTCGCATATGCCAGTGGATCTCGCTCTGGAAATCCATGTAGTTGGGGTTCGCCATGGTCTCGCGCTCACACCTTGCCATATAGGTGAAGATCTCATTCGAGTACTCGGCGACCATGCTGGTGTCGCGCACCTCGTCTGGATCGAGTCCCATGATGATCAGCTCGTCTTCATGCGCTGCCAAGTCTGCTGAGAGCTGACCAGCTGCGACAGCCTCAGCTCGTTGCGCTTGAGCATGGAGGGCTCTGGGCTGAATGACCTCTTCTTGGTAGCGAGACTTGATCAAAGCTACCTTGCGTCGTGCCGCTTCCTCCAATTCGGGATGTAACGAGACGAGTCCCTCGGGATCAATGTTGTAGTCGAGAAAGTCACCGTCCTCTGCCGAGGTGACGCTCTCGGGCCTTGCTTCGGCGCTCAAGCGTTCGGAGCCGTGCCAGTTGGCTTGGTCTGTACCCACTTCATCGCTGCTCGATGTGGAGTCGACGTCCGACATGTCGTCCTCGTCGACCTCATCGCCGTCGTCGTGTACAGCCGCGAGATCCTCGATCTCTGCATCATCGTTGCTGGAAGATAGCGTCCTCTGAGATTGGCTGCTGCCGGCTGCGTTACTCTGAAGGTTTGCGTTGATGGAAGCAGAAGTCTGAAAGGGTGGGAGCAGCCGCGGCGCTTCGACTTCCATGGACTGGACGCCGCCCGATACAAGATCTCTTTGTTCGGATAGGGAGCGTGTAGGCCCTGGTAGCCTCTCCTCTGTTGTGGACCGTGATCGCGCATCGCCAAGACGGGTCATACTCTTGGTTTGCTGCGCACGCAAACCATGCTGGCCGGGAGCCAGCTTGACGGCGCCATGAACCTGTGCACTTGCCCAAACTGCACCTGTACGGTTGCTGACATCCGAGAGGGCGGCGCGTTGTGGTGGCATGGCTTTCGGTTTGCCAGCGACGGAGACTCCGACAGCTTTCTGGGCTTTGACTTTTGCAAGGTGGCTGGAAGATGAGGCCTCGGTGAGGTGGATGCGGTCACCGCTGCGAGAAGCTGGGATGCCTCCTGGTCGAGCAATACGGGATCGTGTCGCCGTAGGTTGCTGTGAGAGCAATAGCAGAATGTGCAAGCGCTCGTGTCAGTCAGCGGTCAGTCACAGTATTGTTGAGGAGCAAGGAAAAGAAAAGGGGACATACTCTGACAGCGGGCTGAGCCATGTTGTGCGAGATGGCAAAAGAATGAGCTCTTCAAGGCTCGGAAGGGAGACGAAAAGCACGGTTTATGAGAAGCTGAATCGAGGCGTGACAAAGTGCATGAGACAAATTGTAGAGCAGCTCTGGTGTAGCCGTCTGTTGGAGAGAAGAACGGCGTTGGTGATACTGATTGGGGACGTTGATTGGGCGAATGGGTGCGGGCTGGAAATACTGTGTGGTCTTCAGCGGGGTGTATGCTGGGATCGAGGATCGTTCACAGCAATGTTGCTTCGGACAAGAGAGGTTAAAGGTGCTGGGCGTAAGAGGGGTATGGTATGCTGAAAAGGAAGCTTACTTGAGGAGGAGGTTCCTAAGCTAGTGCTGGTGGATGCTGAGTTTCTGCGGTTGGAAGGCAGAAAGGTATAGATGTTTTTGAAGTGGTATAGCAAAGCAGTGCAGGGTAAACGCGGTAGTGATCAAAGCAGACGGATGATGAGAGGACGGAAACAGTGATGCTTTGGTGTGGATTCGGGTGGCCAAGCGACGTGTGTGGGGTATCGGGACTCGAGATCAGAGATGCCGACGTTGATTCAGAGCTAGAGATGTCTCTGGTGGAAATGCTGCGCAATGGTGATGCACAGGTGGGTCGTGAACGGGGCAGAAAAGAGACGAAGCTGGTTCCGATGAAGAAGCAAAGCTTGCAGGACGGGTATTGACGTCTGATTGGGAAGACGAGAGACGTTGCAATGTCTCTCGAAGCAAGCAAGCAAGCGAGTATACAAGCCAGCGAGCCAAGTAGAAAAGCAGGTCGAGAAGCTAGGTAGGATCGACAGAAGCTCGACAAGCTGGATGTGATCACCTGTGGTGAGGTTGGGGAGGTGATGTAGAAGCAGGAGAAAGGGAGGCGAAGATGACGAGGATGGTGAAGGGAAGATGGATGGCGAGGTGTGAGTGAGTTAAGTCAAGTAAAAGGTCGGATAGCTACCGGTGGGACGAGGAGGATGAAAGGGACTTGTCGAAGGCTGACTTGTCAAACAGAGACAGAGAGAAACAGAAACAGGCAGAAACACAGAGGAGCAGGAGCAACAGCAACAAACATCGTCTGTCAATCTGAGCCAACGTCAAGAAAAAATAAATAAATAGTGAACAAAAAGTCTGCAGCTTCGCAGTCCAAAAAAGAAAAAAATCATCCACCGATCCTTGGAGCGAAGCAATGTTTCCAATCACTTGCTATCCTCTTTAAGCTCTTGCTTCCGCCTCTCCGCGGTCCCGTGGATCGGAAGCCCTGTGTGCAAGCCAGGATCAAGAGCTGGTATCTTAGTATAGTCTGTACTAGATAGCCTGCCTTCACGAGACGGAATGAAGCAGTAGACGATCATTTCAGATGGACGAAGGTCGTGCTGAAAATATCAGTCGAAAGTGGTAAATTGAGCCGACTCAATTGCAGCAAGCAGCCAAGCGGCGTTCAATTCGGGGGCTGTAGCATGAGAGACAATGGGTGTGACTTCACGACGTAACATGAAGTGGAAGCGGAGACAGGACCTGCCAAGCGAGCGGCAGACGGAGCCAAAAGGTCAACGGGAAGGGCGCATCGCGCATCGGACAAAAGCCTAGCTGGAACAGACGCACTGCTTCGACACGGCAATGTGGTACAGACAGCTTTGAGCACTGACGAGCGCTGAAAAGCCAAGAAAGAGAGGGAGAGACAAGCTGACCTTGACCATGATGTGAGCCGACTCCTAAACAGCATCGCATCAGACAGGCAGAAAGGCGACTCTCACTCTCGTCTCGGCTGAATAATGCTGCGATCAGGCGTTGAGCTGACGGAAAATGAAAAATGCAAAAATGAAAAGAAAAAAGAAAGAAAAAACAAAACAAAACAAAAAACAAAAAACAAAAAAGGCCAAAACGAACGAGAAGCTGCATTATGCGGAAAAGCCTGCATATATGCTGCATACGGCCATGCTCAAACGCACAGACGAATCGGTCTGTCACACGAAAAGGAGAGGAAAAGGCGGAGCAAACACGGGCTCAGATAAACAAAAGGACAGACGGTTGCGAGTTGAGACACGAGCAAGAGACTCTGAGTGAACAGGCTTGTCGCACCGGAAAGGTCTTGGAATCTTCCATCTATAAGGTATTCACAAACACAAACATCGCACGCGATGATGCAGTAACGTAGAGAGAAAAGAGGCAAGGATGCAGCCGCGTCTCTTCCATCGGATCACAAAACTTCATAAGCAGCAGCCGCAGCTCGTTGCTTGCTGCGATCGCAGCGTGACAAGCTGGCTCTTGCCCACAGGACGACTACGGCTCAGGGTAAGCTCCCGTGATCATGATGATGACGACAAGTATTGATCGCGATGATGAAGAGTGCTGAGATTCTCTTGCCTTTGGCTGTTGCATGCACAAAGCAATGGTCTTGTGCAACAGTTCTAGGCAGCCGAAAGGTTGGTCAAAGAGGCCGAGCGGAGAGAGAAGCAGAACAGAGAGCACAAAAGTAGCTTCAGGGTCTCAGCCTCGCTAGAGCAAGTGTCAGTGTCTCGCTTGCATTCGTCAGTCACAAACCTGTGTATTTTGCTTGTCCACACACGAGCGTCAGGACAGCCATGTGACAGACGCAGAATCATTTCGAGTTTGCATATCCTCCTGCTCTTCATCACAACAACAACATCGCCATCACTTCCGCTGCCATCAAGCATGAAAATTGCACGTAAAAAAAATAATAGAAAAATAAATAAATAAAATAGAAATAAAATCATAAAAACAAAAAAAAAAAACAAAAAAAAAAAAAAACATAAAAAAAAAAAACATAAAACAAAAAAACAAAAAGGAAAGGAAAAAGAACAAGAAAATGTCAAAAAAGCAAAACATCGAAACTTGAAGTTGCACCTCTTGCAGAACAAAGCCTTCATAGGATGAAATTGCAGCTCGATGGACTGGGAAATCCGGAGCCAGCTCATGTGCAGCGGGGGCCGAGAGTAGATTGGCCGCTTGCCCGCTTACCCTTGCGTGTGCACGCCGAGAAGACGCTTGCACAAGGCGACTTCGCACACACAGTTGACCGGAACACTCGCATTTCAAAGCCGAAGCGCTCCTTTCCAAGAACAAACTTGCTCCTCACTCTGTACTCTACCTTGCACCAACACACTCATACTCATACTTATTCACAAGCTCATTGTTTGGAGGCATCTCAAGCCAAAGCCAAGACAGCATTCAATGCCACACATTCACTTGGAACAAATTGTCTTCAGATCCGTTGGCTGTGTGTGATTTGCGTTGAACTTATTGTGCGCCTTGCTCGAGTGTGTGGTAGAGTGGGCTGGATGCGTTGCACAGAGGCCACAGTGATTGCTGTCGGCGCCATCTTATCCGAAATGAAGTGTGGTCCCCATTGTCGAGCCCTTCTCAGATTGCTTAACCCGCTACAGTCCCGTCCCTGACACATATTCTACGCTGTATAAAGTAGCGAGATCGGCTCGCTATGGCGACCACCTGGCGATATAGAGACGCATCCGAGTCATCTTGCTTGCTTTGTCGCCGGTGCTATGCTCTTAAAAGCCAATTGTCCAACAGAAGCAACGAGGCGCAACTTGGCGTCAACCCGAATGCAATCCCATCGATCGAAATCCCGCAGGCGAGAGCGTGCGTGACTGGCGGTGCGTCTGGAAGATCCAAGCCTCATGTCACGATAAAAATGTAAATCCTTTCAAGCCTGAAGGGCGAGCTTTTCTGCGTCGGTGTTCGGGCATCAAGCTCGTTGCTCCGCTGTCTGCAGTAGCTCCTCCTCCTCGCATGCACTAAGGTACCAACATCTTCTGTGCGACCATATGATATCAAACAAGATAGCTTCGACGATCCTTCATTTACCACAGACTCTGTTGATACAGCCATGCACTGTCAAACCTCATACTTGTCACTAGCGTATAAGTTTGTTTTCACAAGGCCGACGCGAACAAAGCCGCCTTGCTGCAGCTTCAACTCTAGTCGATATTGAGAAAACGCCTTCCATGATTCATTCCGCAGCTTGGCGCGCGCGATTGTCATCTTCCTTTGCTGCTCTATGGAGTTTGTCTCTCACGACTATCGCCATTCCGAAGGAAATGAGACTGTGAGACTTACAGCAGGACGCATGGCATGCTCGAACGGGACCGACAGTGAGAACCTGCTACTCGTACGGAAGGGACACCTTGTGAGCGAAATGGCGCTCGCAAGTTGACCATGAGACAGCCTTGTAATTGTGCGCAAAAGCGCAGGACGCAAACAGGATGTGCGCAGGCTCTTGCCGCACGGGACCGATAGGCCTCATTGCTCGGTATCACGGTGCCGGCGCATTGATTCCTTTCGATAAATGTACCGAGCCCATCGGGAAGCAACGGTGTGGGGAACACCGTCCAATGTTGTTGAGAGCCAACTTCAAGATGCGCTGCGCCGTCATCGAAGCCTTCTTTAGAGTATTGAGAATAGAAACGACAGGCAGAGCAAGGACAACCTATGTTCGCGATGATCTGCTTGCTGATCACAAAGACGAGCTGGATCCGTTGTCCCTTCTTTCAAGCGACATGAGTGATGCATTGTTCCTCCTTCTGACAGCTCGATGGATCGCATTTGACCCATACAATGCTTACCTGGCCTTTCTGACGGCTGTTAATCACGTGACAAACGTCATGTGATGTGATCTGCGGTCAGAGATTTTGCCAAGTCATCGCGCAGCTACAGAGTGCTCTCTCTCCAATCACCGCCATTCTCTAGAGGGGGTTTCAATTTTTTTTGGCCTTCAAAAACTAGAGTCTTCCAATACTCAAAAAAGCTCAGAAAATTGATGCCCCCAAATGTAAGCTGTGTTTTTAGAGGGTTAATTTTCAAAGCCAACAAAGGGAGGGTAGTGTCAGCCAGAAAATGAAGCAGTTCTGGAATTTGAACCACCTTGTAGCTCCACCATATTTGACACTCTCATCACACAATCAAAGTATATACAGTCATTATTGACAGCATGGGATCACACAAAACAAGCTGTGCAGGAA